ATGGTCAATAATTTGAAAAGATATTATGTAAATTGGGCGAAATATAGTGATAAATATCATGTAAGTGTAATGCAGACAAAGATGCGCGGATCTGGTAGTAAAAAATAACTATAACCTGTAATAGTGTTGACTAATTTAAATATATATATATATATAGCACTGATTAAGTCGAAACTTAAATGTACTTTTCTTTAGTTCTGAATCTTAAACTAAATGCACTAGGAACGCTCGTATCACATTTATGATATGATATTTATTATTTGCACATCAAAATACATTTTCATATTAATTAGAATAAACGAAAAAGAATAATTCAAACCCTGAGAGTGGAGTGAATAATTTCAAACAAAAACTGTGACACTTAACTTCCATAATGTATTTTTTAAGCTGTAAGTGGCCGCGCTATCGTAGTCTCGGAGACGTTACCTGAATTAATTACGTGCTTAATTAAATTTTTTCCCGCCCCAGACCGTCACTGCGTTGTAACTACGTGTCTTGGCTTCTATATACTACAGTTTTAATTATATTTAAAAGTACAGATAAATGAATGGTCAAATAACTGATTTTTCAACACACTTGCTCGTAAAATGGATCTAATTTCATCGGTTTTCGATATATAAAGAAGCTCATAAAACACACGTGCAAATAGTGGAGTTCTATTCCATAATATACTATTTCTTAAATTTCAAAATTTCAAGTGTTTGTATCGTCGGAGCAATCGAACCCCCGACCACCGCAAGTATATATAGGGATGAGCTAAACTACTAGACTGCTGAGGCCGTCAATTGAATGATTTGAATGAATGAATTCATTTTCTTTTTAAAGTGTTCAGTCTATGTCCGGTCTCGTTATATAATTTATCCTCAAACATTTATTTAGTTCTGAAGAGATATTAGACAAATAGACATACACTCTCGTAATTATTTATTTTAGTATAAATACCATCAGGACGGTTAGGGTTGATGATCAGGACGGATAAATAAATGCTTGAAAAGACAAGTAGGAGTAATTAAAAATTAAGCAAGCTATTTTATTCAAATAGGTGAGACTGAGATACCTACGCAGGTGACTTTACAGTCTACCCTCTCTTTCAGTTAATAATAATATTAATCTCAGGACAATTCACCCAGCTCCATCTAGTTTCAAGTTAAGCTACCTAAAGCTTGTGTTATGGGTACTAGATTACTGTTAAATACATAGATATATTTTTAAAAACATACATATTACATATAGAAAACACAATAACCGATACAAAAAATCATACTCATGAATATAAATGTTTATGCCCTGCGAAGAACCAAACCCGCGACCACCGAAAGTAAGGCAGAGTACTAAACCACTAGACCTAGATTACTTGAGATTACTCGAGTCAGTTACTAGTTACTTGAATAAATATTCTTTCAATTGTATTCTATTCGCATAAAGAATACTGTACGTGTATATGTAAAGTAGAGATAAAAGGGCAACTCGAGATCAAAGTGTAAATAAGTTCCAAGTGAAAAATACAATTCGCATTCACTCGCATATCTCCAAATGTACAATATTTGAGTACAATTTTTGCAAATATTCCGTCGGCATATAATAACTTATTACCTTGCTTTCTCGCCACAATATATTCAAACCGAATTCCCCTAAAATCTCCACGTTTATTCAGAACTAACTCAGAATCTCGTCTCAGTAGATGAACGTCAAGCTCGGATCCCCGTATCCTATTCATACGCGCAGCATCTTTATATGTACGAGTATATATACCAGATTACTCCTCGAGATTGCTATGAATATGTCATCTTACAATTAGCTATGTTAATCAGGGTGGGGTGTGTTTTGTCAATGTTAAATTCCGCATTGTAATACTTATAAAGTTATGAACGACTGATATGAATATATTTAGTTGAAATGTAGATTATAGATATACTAGCTACCTTTGACGGCTTCAGTGGTCTAGCGGTTTAACACACACACTTACCTCCGATGGTCGCGGGTTCGATTAATCGCATGTCACAAACATTTGTATGTATGAGTATGATTATTTGTGTCTGAGTGTTTTCTATGTATAATATGTATGTATTTACGAAAAATAAATGTATTTGTATCAGTTATATAATATCCAAAACACAAGTTTTAGCTAGCTTAACTTGGGTCTAGATGGCGCTGTGCGAATTGTCCTGATATTATTACATATAAACCTTTCTTTTGAATCACTCTATTTATTGCTAAAAACTACATCAAAGTTGCTTAATTTAAAACATTTAAGCGATGGATCAAATTGACAGCAGAAGTAACTTCATTTTATCCTTCTTTACATTCATTTATAAACGACGGGCTTGGTGGTCCAGCGGTTTAGCATACCGCTATAACTCCTGGTCGTGGGTTCGATGCCTGCACGGTGCAAACATTTTGGTCATGATTATGATTGTCATCGGTCAAGGTGTTTTCTATGTATGTATTTAAAAAAACAAAAAGTGTACTTACGTATTTGTGTCAGTTGTCTAGTACCCATAACATGCATGCGCGTGTGTGTGAGTGTGTGTGTATTGTGAGCCTTTCATTTATGTGACGGGTGTTAGATCATTTTCATCAATTTCCAGGAATTTTCGGTGAGTTCTACAGGTATTCAAAATAGAAGCCTATTGATCGGTGATAGAGTGTTTTTTCAAATTTAATTGTTCCAGACTATGATGTTGGTGGTTAGGTATGATACTTGTGGATGAGAGGACTATTGGTATTATATAATATTGGTATTATTTAAACTTTTTACTGTATTTTTTTTTTAATTTTATTTTTCTCATAATTTTTTCAGCAATTGTCTTCTGAAGATTGTGTGTATTAAGAACTGAAATATCTATCAGGTAAGTTTTTTATCTTATAGTACTTATTATATTTTTTATACAATACTAGCTGTGCCCGCGGTTTCAACTGCTTCAAATTTCAATATAAAATATAGCCTATGTGTTATTCTGATGCATAAGCTATATTATTGTAAAGTTTCATCAAAATATCTAACCCGAAGTATAACTGAGGGTCAGTATCCATCAGATCCGTACGTCAAAAGCGTATACATCCTTTGGTCCATTGTCGGCTTGTCAGGCACGTCCGTTTTGAAGCAGCACGAGCGATTAAGTCTAGTCCCTTCAGTTAATAATTTATAGTGAGACGCAATTATAGAAAGGGTGGAACGGACAAAATTAAATTCTAAGTAATAATAATAATAACTTTGGACAATTCACAACATCACCGTCTAGTTTGGTGTGTGTTCTTATCATTTTGGAGAACTAAAAAGTAGCTTACGTCGTATTCTCAGATCTATCTAAATATATACAACTCAAAGGTGACTGACATAGTGATCTATCAACGCACAGCCTAAACCATTGAATGGATCAGGCTGAAATTATTTTGATTAATTCTACCCCCAAAGCGATAAAATAGGAGATGAAAGTTTGTATGAAACTTTGTCAATATTAAACCGATCGGGTTAAGACTTTGCATGCATAAAGCTACTATGACGTAGGCATCCCCTAAGAAAGAATTTTGATAAATTCCACCCCTAAGGGGAAACATTAACGCGAGCGAAACCGCGGGCAAAAGCTAGTTGAATATATAACCCTACAATATTTCATATGAATTATTCAAGCCGTTTCGGAGGAGTTTTGTCACAAATACTGTGACACGATAACTTTATATATCAGAATTGATTAATAAGGACGACTTTGGTATCTTCTAACGAAGGTTTTATGAAAGAAAGCATACGACGTCACGGGTAATATCTAGTGTTGTATAAACTAAACTGTCTGTCTGTTATTATTAAATATAAGCTTAGTTAGTCCAGTAGTTTTTGTATAAGCTAAATTAACGTAAAGTTTCATCAAATCCGTTCGGTTTTTGTGTGAAAGAGTAACGAACATTCATCCATTCATCTATATCCAGCCATACTCACAAACTTTCAAGTTTATAATATTACTAAGATTTTTGAGGCTTCCTGCTGCATATATATGTACATACTCTAACAAGATTGTTTTAAGGAATCCTATTGTATACTCTAAAAATGTTTGTATTGCAATATAATATCGACTCTTCTATTAAATTTACATGTGTGACAAATAATATTTCAATTTATAATAGTGCGCCGTTTGCCCCGTCGGGTTACGACTAAGAGAATAATCGGTGTAACTTGTATATTATACACATAAATCATAATATATATTGACTAATACTCGCCGCTATTTATATATATAATTGTATTTACACTTAGTATTATATAATAATACTTATTATTGAAGTGGTTCTTGTTTAAATTATTAACCTGGTCATAACACGAATAATTTTATGGCAAATAAACACATACTGTGTGTCGCGAACTTTCGTTAAACAATCTAATGGTAATGAAGAAAAAACTATTATTATTGTTACTCCAGTGGTGACCACGGCTAGTTAACTAGTCGAAACGTCGAGAGAGGTAAATGCCTTTATTTGCCATAAAATTATTCAAAATTAATAATTTATCTCTCTTTATTATATTTCTGGTGTTAAATGCATGCTGGAATAGATTGTACTGTATCAAATACAGGTATTTAAAAGGTATTTGAACATACGACTATATTTTTATATATTTGCCAAAAAAGGAATTTATCATGTTTATTGAACGACTTTTGTCAAACAATTCTTCTTCTTAGTCTTAGGTACAATCTTGTCAGAGTAGTCGTGGTCAACATTTTGAATCACGAAGAGTGAGGTTTTTCGTAATACGACGCCATTCGTCGCGGACTGCAGCTTTCCGGGTACATTCGTAAACTGAGCATTAGTTGCGGCCGCAACTAAGTGCTCAGTCATACAATACATATCTCTATGATTGCACGAGCTATCAAATAAAGAAAAACAAATAAAAATAATGCAATTTCACGCCCCATTGAAGGATGTAATTGCGAGCTCAAACAATTAACTAGTCGGCCCAACCTAACTGTAATACGTATTAGGAGGATAATTCTAATTGCTACGTTCTCAAAATGTGTTTGTTCTTGAGTACCGTGCTAATCTTAGGTCTTTGTCTCCTATTTGTTGAAGCCATAGAACCCACAGTTCACTGTAGAGTAAATGTTTTTCTTCTTTTTTAATATTAGTTATGGTATCTGAATTCTAAATTCAAATTTTAATATTATTTTGAAACATAGCATTATTTATTCTTTAAATGTCTTTTGTAATTTATTTTCTAAATTCATATTTCAATATTAATTATAGGTAAATATGTTTTCATAAAATAATTTTAAATGAATCTTTATGGTATTTATACTTCTGATAATTAAATATTTATTTATTAAGTTTATACTCAATATGACAACGTTTTGTCTAGTGGTTTAGTATTCCAACTTATGTTGAAAGATTTTTTTTTTATATTAAAGTTAGATTGTAAGATCTAATCCTGCCAATACCCAATAACTCTGTGTGTCAATTTATATTTCTGACGAACTCTTCGATGATGTAAACACCTAATTTACCAAACTAATTCGATAGACGACAGTATACTCGTCCTCAACCACAATGAATACAAACATATAATAGCCACGTCACGTGTTTCATTCAACGTCTACCCCATCTGGGTTATCAGTCGTAAATATATATTTACATTTATAAACTAAATCGTGCTTTAAATTTTCAGGACCGCAACAATCACCTTCGACAAGATGGCGGCCTCTGTTTCGAGATACCGCCATGGCAGTACATGCCTGTTCAACTCGAGCAGCACTTGTCATCGTTGAAGGAGAGATGGGGAAACAACACAACGATAGAGTCTTTGCGGAGATCCCAATTAGCCTTTCTTAACAGGTATTTTTATTTTTATTTATGACTAGCTACTAACCCCGACTTAGCACGGGAATACATGTATTATACATATAAACCTTCAGACAACTTCAACCACACAGCGCCATCTAGTACTAAGATAAGTAATAGCTAAGTAGGCAAAAATCCTTAGATTTTCTTTATAAATACACACATAATTAACATAGAAAATATTCAGATCCATACAAACAACCATACCCCTGTTGAAAGATTGATGATGAATACAATATTTTTATGAATTTTTTATTCATTAATGTTTGCATCGTGTAAACTATTGAACCCGCTACCATTGAAAATAAGGCGGAGTGCTAAACCGTTAGACCAACGGCCTCTTATATGTATAGATTAAAAAAAGATTCGGTTCATTGATTAGAACTATTCATATTATTTACAGTGAAATGTCTCGTTACATGGACACTGTACTGGCTCCCTTTCTGGATACTTATCATAAAAACATACAAACAGCATACCAACAGATGACTTCAAAGATTTTGAGAAGAATTAAGGAAGAAATAAACTCAGCCGTTCAGAGAAAGGGCAAGATATATACCGAGTTGATAGAGTTAGCTGATAAACTGCAAGTACCAGGTAACAAAAACATAGCTCAAGAGACAAACCAGCTTGCAGCTCACCAGATAGTAAGTGATTACTGTCGCATATGATATCCCGCAACCCCAAGTCAATTGCAAGTGCAGTAATTGGAAGAAGGACCAATTATCACGAAAATAGTCTCCACTATTTTCATAATATAATAATAATATTTATTTTTACTACCAGATTAGGGACCGGGAACCAATTGTATACCATCATTCTTCGTCCTCAAATGTCGCCAGTTTAAATCTTCGCCTTTTTTCGCCTGAATTTCTGATGACGCAAACAACAACACCAAACAAAATTAATCCGAGAGAGAAGCCATCATGTTTGCAATGTACCATGTCAGGTTGACCTCCATGTGGAGGAAACAATCGTGATAAATGCAATGTGAATTTGTCAGGATGGGCTAACTAACCTGTTCATCTTAACACTCTCCACTGATGTCCCACCATAGTAAAACATTAGCGCAAAAGGGTGAATCATTATATTAATATCAATTAAATATATATATGTACCCTTTTCCCCCACATCACGATTTGTCAAACGACAATGGCTCTGATTACCCCATATAGTATAATAGTCGTGAAGTTATATTATTATTTGTACAGAAATGTGCGATGAAGAGCGTCGTTCAGCACGTACGTTAGCCAGTAAACATGTCTCCCACATGTACAAGTGTACAGAGGATGCAAAATCTTCTATTGCCAAGATGGGAAAATATGCAGAGGAGATGATAGGCATCACCAGGAATCACATGCAGGTGGTTTTGGATGATACAACTAAGTCTTTGAGTGTAAACAGTCAAGCCAGATCTATGCCAAAGTAAGTTTACCCAATATCGAAATGCTACATACATATTAGGTTCGCACAATGGCTCAAATACCACTCCACACGTCCCTCTCACGCGCCTTACTGATCCTGTCTGCTCCAACTTCCTGTGCAAAGACATCCCTTCATCGTCTTTTAGGTTATACTTATTTCCATTGGTATTATTCGTTATTTTCGTAATCCTTCTTTTAGTATTTCGTCTACATTCGTTTTATTACAATTGTTTTATGCACTTACTTCTATCTTTTTTTCCTTCTTACTTTCTGTATCACTTTTACATACTCCCTTCTTTCACATATCGTTCCCGTTTAGGAATCAATCTACCTACTCAATACCGTACCTTTTTTACATAAGTAATAATCCGTAGTTATATTAAAAGTTCGTAAGAGTGTAAGTCTGTTTGTTACCTTTTTACCTCTAAATGGATGAATGCATCTCATTAAAATTTAACATGAAGATAGATTATATCCCGAGGATGGACATGATCTATCTTTTATCCCAAAAAGGCAACGTCCTCATGGGCAATAGCTAGTATTGCATATTTCAGAGAAGAAGTAACGCTAAGTTTGAAGGAACTCTCCCGGGCTGCAGTCGCTCTGGGTTACGAGCTGGATTTAAGCTTGACAAATGCCCGTCGTCACAATGAGCAATCCTGCGAGAGACTTACAGCTTGCAGTTCCAAAGTGCGCAAAAAAACTGATGAAGACGTTACCGAGTTACGCGAGAAGCTATATCAATGTGTGTACGCTTAAATGTTATACATGCTATATATCTTTCTACAATATTCTAAAATATCTTAGCCTGTTCAGAAATGCTATAAGTCCTATATGATACAGAACATGTATCTAACGCGGCATTGGCAGGTTCCTACCAGATTTGGTAGGGCAGGGACTTCGACGTACGTCAACACGCAACTTCACCGCTCAAGTTTCTCAAAGGGTAAGGTAAGGGTAAGGGTATTTTAAAGTCCAGGGAACTGTTTGCAGTTTCTCTCTCTACCACACGATGGACCCAGCACCCGTACGATATATCCAAGAAATGCTAAGAAGTTCATCTCTTTTAAGTGTCAATTCCATTATATACAATAATAATACTGATCAATTGACACAACGCCATTGAGTTCTAAACATAGCGGTGTGGGTAGCTAGACAACTGATAGAAATATTCGAATATATTTTCGTGCATAAGCAATATATAGTACATAACTAGTATAAATAACAATAATATATACTAGCTATCCGCCCCAGCTACGCATCTTTATATTGCAACACTTCATCTATTGCTAAAAATTGCATTAAACTTGAAAGCGACTTCATGTAATACGTTGTAAAGATTATAATAAAGTCAAACTACAAACTGGGCCTAGGGCCTAGGGGAATGGAGCCAGAAAAAAGAAAATTAGAATGAAATATCAATTTAAAACATCGCTAATGTTGAATTACATTGAAACGTGTGAAAAACGTAACAAAAATAAATCGTGTACGGTGCGGAAATTCTCGACAATAGAACAAAGTGATGTACTACAGTTATATAGAACATATCAATATCTACAAAAAGTTCTGAATACCATGTCTAAATATAAAAGTTAGGTCATAAAACCTACTTTTTCATTTTAAATTATGCAATAATAACGCCATTATAAACTAGGCAATTATTTGTACATTTATTCATTTATATCATATACATATGTACAAATATTTGAATTTTTTATTAAATACCCGTGCGCAACTGGGACGGATCGCCAGTAATTAAAAAAAAATGTTGAATTATTCATATGTTTTAATATTATTCTTTGTTTAACCCAAAGCGAGGTTTCATATCCCATTAAAATTTATAGTAGTCTTAGAGAGCGAGGTTTAAATAGATACATATTGCTTAAAGTTTGTATATATACTACTATCTTTTCTAAGATCCATATAATCTCAAGATGGTTCTTAATAGTTTTAAAAAATTCTAGAACATCTTCCGTTTTTACAAACTTTACAGCCTGCACGCCAACACGTACACCCCTATCATCAACCCCATGAACTATGCAATCCACCACTCGCTTACCGAAGATTTCACAACGGTTAATAAATAAACTTGACTACAATAATATAACTCTAAATACTCAGCCGGCTACATAATTTTCTGTAGCTGGAAATGAACCTCTTAGCATTTCTATTCAATCTAAGAGTGCCAAGAATTATATTTGAAATTTTTTATAAATATCCATGCGAAACTGGGACGGATCGCTGGTAATTAAATAAAAAAACGTTGAATTATTCATATGTTTTAATATTATTCTTTGTTTAACACAAAGCGAGGTTTCATATCCCATTAAAATTGATAGTAGTCTCAGGTAGCGTTTGAATAGAAACTCATACTGCTTAATGTTTATGTATATATATATGTATTATACAGTTTAAAGTAAAATGTATTTTGCATATAAATGGGCAGTGTGCGAAATTCACAATTTATATGATTGAAGTCTTTAATGAATAAATGTTTATTTTGTTAACTAAATATTATACATAAGAAATATTAGATTTTTGTTGGTATTGTCAACTCAAAAATATTTTAAAGACTAAAGCATGTTTCAATTATAGAAATATACATAATCAGCGAAAATAGGCATTTTCTTATTTAAAAATAGATATTTTATAATTTTACCAGTATTATAAAGGCAAAATTTTGTGAGTGTGGATAGAAGTTTGTTATTCTTTCACGCAAAAACTACTGAACGGATTTTGATGAATGATTTTTAGTAATATAGTTTATACATCAGAATAACACATGTCATAAATTTCACGCGGGTAAAACCAGCACACAGGGCACAGCTCGTAATAAACGCGAACGTATGAGCAGATAGGAATGGAATTAGGTACAGAAGTAGATCATATTATATACATATAATAACACATAGGATACATTTTACCTGAATTTACACGGGAAGCACCACGTGATACAACTAGTGATGTTATAACAAAACAAATCAAACAACGTCCTAGTAATTTGAATACCATCGCGCATTTAATTTCGGGTTAACTAATCTAAATTCATTTGCGGTAGCGGTGTTGTCTAAATATTTGAATAATTTGATTTCTCTTTGTGAAATAACTGCGAGTTGGGATGGGCAAAAGGTCATAATTAGGGAGGACACAGCGGCGACAAGGGTCTAGAGGCCTTTCAGCTGTGAAATAAACAATACAACTATTTGGAGTACGTTTTAATGTCTTCGCAAAGTCGAAAACACAAAATGTCTGCATATTCTGAACTTCAAAATATACTGTAATAACGCTCAGTGGTCGAAAGTGGACAATATTAAAAAAAATAGATCTTTAATAAGTAGTCGCCCAGTGGTTACAATTAGACCGTAATGAGAAATACAAAAAGATTTTTGAACCTGCAATAACGAATAAACAAAAGAGTATATATGATTGTGTGTCAAAAAATAGCAGTGTGTGTGTGTTTTTATTGATTTAATACATTTTTAATCCTTAAATTAAAAAAAATTCTCCTGCGCTCCTACTCTATATAAACTATAAATGTGCGAAATTTCATACACTTCCGTCAATGCAATTTTTGTAAAAAGATGCACAAAGTTTTCGCTTCACGTTTTAATATTATTTAATTTAAATAATGATAATAACCCTGGATAATTCATAGCGTTATCTAATTTGTAAAATAAGTAGAGCTTATATTATGGGTAATAAATGGTACAAATACATAAATACATTGTTTTGTAAATACATATATGATATGAAAACACCCAGACCAATGTTTGCATCGTGTGAGAAATCAAACTCGCTACCATTGGAAGTAAGGTGTATATACCGCTAGATCACATGTATATGTGTCTATCGCTCTTATTTTTACAAACAGAAATATATAAATAGAATGGCAAACAAGCTGGCTTTCGCACGATGGTAAGTGGTAGACATAACCTACATATGAACATTCGTATCCGTCAGGCGAGAGTTGGCCATCAGTCGCTCCATAAGACCTTCCGCGGGTTTGGAGTGTCATCTGCATTCGCTCGTCCCGTGAAGCTGTAAAGGCCAGCTGCGGTCAACAGCATTAGAGTAGTCCGAAAAAAAAAATGAACAGTAATGGTACTGTCCATGGGGATATTACTTCATTATATGATGACTAGTGCAACTCACGCATTGCCGTTCCAGGGGTCTAAAATGTGCTTTTGTATCCTGCAATTTCACTGCCTTAGGTCACACTATAATCGAAACACAGCTTATGAGCCAAACTACTAAGTTGCTAAAATATATGACGCAGAAGTACCCGCGCAGATCACTTTATATAACTTAATAGTTAACTCGTTAACTAGCTTTTGCCCGTGGCTTCGCTCGCGTTAATTTATCCCCTTAGGGGTGGAATTTATCAAAATCCTTTCTTAGGGGATGCCTATGTCATAGTGCCTTTATGCCTGCAAATTCTCAGCCCAATCGGTTTAAAATTGACAAAGTTTCATACAAACAATCATCCCCTATTTTATCCCCTTGGGGGTAGAATTAATCACAATCCTTTCTTAGCGGATAGTCTAAGTTTAGTCATAACATCTACCTAAATAAAATGCCAAATTTTAGCCCGATCCGTCCAGTGGTTTGGGCTGTGCGTTGATAGCTCACTACGTCAGTCACCTTTGAGTTATATAGATATAATTTAGATTTAGATTAAAATTTATTTCTTTATAATAGCAACATTCAAGTAGCTTACACATTTTTCTTGTAATGAGTCTTTTTTCAGAATAGTGACCTTTATTAACGACTCACAAGGATTGTTACTTGAATTTTAGAGAACAATAGCTATTCATTGTTAGAGTCTTAAATCTGAACTAGGTCGAAACCTGTACTGATTTTCAGGCAATCTCCGAGGAATTACAGAAAAATATTTAACGTTTAAAACAATATTAAATATCTGTTTTTGTGAGGTATCTGGTTACATAATTTATGACTTTTAAGTGTGGAGGAATATAATAATATAGAATAGTCTGTGTGTGTACGTGAGCGTGAAACCCCTCTGAGTGTGAGGAAGGTGTCTTATGTGTATATATCTGTTGGGGATGTGTACTACAGAATTTAGATATATTTCTGTTAAAGTTACTGTAAATAGTATGAAAATAGTGTGTTCATTTTACCATGATAAAGTGTGTATTCATGTGTTGAGTGTTTCCTTTTTATGCAAGATTTTTTTTTTAATTTTATTTCATCTCCACAAATTACATAATTCCAGTTTTATTATATAAATAACAATCATAAGTATAATTTCTGGAGCCCAAACAAAGCCATAGCATGTACCTTAGACTCCAGGTCTCCCCTTCATATAAATTAGTTATACATCTAGTTTTAAGTTTAAACGTGGAGTGCATTGAGAATGTGTGTGTGTGTGTGTGTGTGTATGTGTGTGAGTGAGTGGGTGAGCCATGTAAAATTTATATAAAAACTTATAATTTACATATATGCAATTATATTTACATGTGTGTACTTAATTTATGTATATTATAGTAATAATATATTATAGTATATCGTAATTTTGTTTTAATAAAGAATATTATCAAAGAAAGTATGTAAGTATGTCTATTAGTTGCCTAGTGCGTACATATTACACGGTAACAACGGTAACGACGACGACGAACGACGGTAACCGTTTACCAATAGATGGGCCGTATGTTAGTTTGCAACTATAGTATAAAAATACATTAAAATGTCTCCTTAGTTTCTGATTAGTTGAGGCTGTTATTTATGTATTTGTAATTTGC